TTTCACTCTCCTGCTGAAACAGGACTTAGAGTTTTAGTGCGCACTTTTGCTACCTCCATGGAAGTTCACCCTCATTTGACTGTAATACAAGACACTGAAAAGATTCACATATGCTCCACAGACACCTGTTAAGTATATGGCACCTCATCTCTGAACAGAAAAACCTCTTCAACAGCCCAATTCAAGCAGGCATTCCATAAAGGCAAATGTTCATTAATCCAATGATACATTACATCACTACAAATTTATTTCATTGACTCAATAAGAAGAATTTTTCCAATCACTGAATAACCAACAGTAAATACGTTATAAGAAGTCATGATACACAAAAAAATTTTCTTGATTCACGGTGTGCAACATCTATTTTATATTATATTAAAGCAATGCTAGCCAGAGAAAATCAGGAATGTTCAACGACAAACTGCAAAGAAACTGAAACTAAGAGTGTAAGGATTTCTACTAATCATCTGCACATTTATTTGAAACTTGATCCTGCAGCCCTTATTCACAAGATCAGACCTATTGAGTTTATTCACATGAGCTTTGGCTGCAAGATTGGACCTTAAGTACTATCAGGTGCACGTGCAGCCTATCATCAGATTTTGGGTTATTCATGCAAGAAGCTACCCTTTCAAATGCAGACTACTTAATGCTTCCTTCTTCATTAACTTACATGTCCTCTTCTGCTGCTCTATGCTTTCATCTGTGCTATGTAAATAGCCTCTCAGTCATCAAAACAAATAATGATCTTTGCAACCAAGGAGGAAATTAGTAGCAGGTGAACGCTTATTTTTTATATCTTGTTGAGACCAAGCTGTTCTTTAACTTAAAGGAGATCTGGAAAAAAATCCAATTTTACTACTTAGCCATCTTAATGATGGGTTGTCAAGGTCATAATTCTACATACTTTATCCCACTCACACTACCCAAATATTAACCTTGATGGCAATCTACTTTATGATGAGCTGGACCTAACGCTGTGAACATACTTTAAAGCAGTTTAAAGTGGAATAAGACTTCTCTGATGACATAAATAAACTGCATCTTATCACACATGAAACCAGAAATTTCTGATTTAAATATTATATTTCTTTGCTTTACATATATGTTCTACATAAATACAAAATATTATGCTATGGTGACTGTAAAAAAAAAATCTAAGTTCTTTTGCTACCTGCCTACAGACTTCTGCAGTTCAGATAGGCTGATATTACAAGACACGGCATTAACTTGAAGGATCACAGCAAAGACATTTATGTCATGGTCCACATAATAATCTGCATATTTGCAAATCCTCTTTGAATTTTGCAAGACATTGGTAGAGAAGCAAACTGTCAGTTCAAGTAGAAGTCTCTTCATCAGTGATGGCATTCCCAAAAATATTAATGCCAGTGTTCAATGGCCTCCAAGTAATCAACAAATTATACCTGACTTTAGGCTGTAAGTTATATGCAAAGCAACAGACAATATCTGTCTTCTGATCTGTATTCTGGGAATACTCTGGATACTACATGAGTATGGAAGGAGAAAATCAACATACACTTTTTCATACACAAATCTCATTATCAATACAACCTGTGCAACTGACAAAATCAAAGGTAAAGTCCCAGTAACAGATATTAGTAGTACTTTCTTTGTAATTCCAGCTAATTTCAATGTAATGATAAGGCAGGGTCTGAAGCTGACTGTTGGCAATTTCAGTAGTCATAATATCAATTGCAAGTGCAGTAAAAATAATAAGCACACACATCCACTAAAAAGGAGACACATATCATGTGAGTCTAATCTGGAGTTTCATCTTGAATCCAAATCTCTGTAACTCAAAGCTTGAAAAAAAAAATTAAAATGAGACCTTGAAATGGAATGATATGTCTGCAACAACTAAACTGTTGCCACAAAATTTTTCTCAATCATAATTCAAACTTGCCACATGGATTAATTGTCAGCTCGAAGCAGCTGCAACACTATGTTCTATGCACTTCTGTTGCCATTTTAATTTTTAAAAAGCAAATGGAGAGGCTCTCTATAAAATTCAATGCCACAATAGCAATGACTGATCCAGAGTCACAAAATTCAGAACAGTTCACTAAATTGTCAATTAACAACACACATCAAAAGGCAGCAGAAAAAAATTGTGTGCCTGAAATACCTGATCAGTGAATGAAGAATAAAGAGATGTAAGGAGAAGAGATGTAAGCAAACCATTTTGATACTGGAAGAATCAATTTGCACACAACCAGAAAAATTGCAGAACATCATAGATAGTGTATTCATGACTTTTTATTTGCAAAAAAAGCCATGGATAACCAAACTGAAATTTATTAATGCTCCAAGAAAGAGAGAATGATGCTGGTACCATAATGCCAGGGAGTACATTCACTTGTTAAAATCAGTAAAACATATTGAAAACATCCCACAACATATATATATGTGCACAGTAAAAAATGTTGTCTTGTGCATAATGTATATATCCTTTAAAAATTAGAAAAGCAGCATGCAATGACTGAGCTAACAATGGAAACACTGAATACATAAAACTATTTTGTTCAGTTATACAAGTATAGCTACTTCATCATCTCACTGGATGACCAGCTACATACCTGAACCGTAAATGCACATGAAAGAACTACAACCAAAGGATGATGTTTCAAAGCAAAGCCCTAAGGCCAGATTTTACTACATCACTTTACAAATCATTTGAGTTACTGCTTCTTAAGCTAACACAATTTGTTAAACATATCCTCACCTTTGACTACAAAACAACTAACTGGAAAGTGATACACCACTCCAGTATTATTCAATGTTTACACTCACTAATTTATGACACAAAACGAGATTTTAGTTATGTGAATAAATGCCAAGGATCAGCATGTCCTGTGTTCCCAAATAACTACATCAAAATCAGACAATGGAACATCTATAAACTTGTGGCTTGTTGGAACAACTATGTGGAACTGAGCATCTAGCAGAAATAGACTGAAACACAGATGAGCTTTTTTTCTCTAAAAACACACAACAGACAACCTAGAACAATTCTCTATCAGATACCTGACCTTAAGCTTTCTTCACCTTTCACCTACCAATATAAATGAAATGCATTTTCAAAGATCATTCAAACTTGAACATGGAGAATGACTATAACTAAGGCAAAATGCGCAACACAGATCACACATATATGATTCCCCACTCCTGGAACAAGTACACCAAAAACATCACAAGAACTTGTTCACACTACTGTGGGTTGAAGCTATTTTCACACACTTTTCAGATGCAAAGAATGTGAAATTTACCACATGTTTCCAAATATGCATAGGAAAGTGTGGTGGCACAGGAACCCCATATTGATCTTTAGAGTTCTGTCTTGTCCAACTCACTTATTTGGAAAATGGGAATACTTGAACAATGTAGAGACACACAAAGTCCACACACATGGGCCATGCAACAGTATTTCCTCTCAGAAGAAATGTGTATCAGGTAACTTGGATAATGTAGACACAGCAGCATTGTGTCTACTTACAGAAGTATCCCTTTTTTCTGGAAAAGTATACAAAATGAAAAGATGTGAGAAGCACCTGCAGTAGCCCCACCCACTGTCTACTCCCTGTCACAGTTTTTGCAGGAATGAGGAGAAGGTGGTAAAAAGCAACCTTCATCAATCCCTGGTAACAAAGCTCTGGCAGGACAAACAGCTGGGCAGCCATAGCACATTCAGCAGAGAGCGCAGAATGAAATGAAACAGTAGCTGAGCAAGCAACCACGGAGCACTCCCAGAGAGCTGAAGCACCTCTTCTATGAACACAGGCTGAGTGAGTTTGGGTTGTTCAACCCGGAGAAGAGAAGGCTCCAGGGAGACATTACAGCACCTTCCAGTAAAGGGGCTACAAGAGCTGGAGAGTACTTCTGAAAAGAACATGGAGTGATGGGACAGAGGGCAAGGTTTTGCTAGGTTTTTGCTTCAAACCTAGCAAAAGCAAACAGGTTTACATTTGATGTTACGAAGAAATTCTTGACTGTGAGGGTGGTGAAGAACTGGAAGACTACGCCCAGAGAAGCTGGGGATACCCCATGACTGTCAGCCTCCAGTAAGGTCAGGGCTTCAAGTAACCTCATGTAGGAGAGGGTGTCCTGTCTATGGCAGGGGCTTGGAACTAGATAACATTTAAGGTCCCTTCCAACCTAAACCCATTCCAGGACTGTATGGATAAGACATTTGTCTTCCTAAGGCACCATTATGCACAAACAAGTCCTGCTTTCCTGCAGATGGCTATACATCTGCCTGCTGATGTAAGGAAGTGAATTGATTTCTTATTTTGTTCACAGCTTGTGTGCACAGCTTTTACTTTACCTATTAAACTGTAACTTGACCTGTGAATTTTTCGCTTTCACCCTTCTGATTCTTTTCCCTATCCCACAGTGAGGAGTGAGCAGGTAACTACAGGGGGCTGAACTGTGTAGGAAGTACCAGTAGCACCCAAATATGTAATATACCAACAGATATTTAATCAATTCATCTTAAGATTTCTATTTCATTTATTGGTTCCTGGTATTTCCTAGTAACAAATCAACCAATGCATTTATCTTCAGCCAAAAAGTAAAACGTCGCAGCTTTGTAATCCATGATGTGACTAAGGCTGAAGAAAATACTGCACTGTGTAATATTCTGTAATATCTTACATAGGAAGATAATATACTAATGTCAAACAGTCATCTAAATCACACTCTAAGCTACATAGCAAGCAATAGAAATTATTGTTAGAGCATTAATATGCAGTAAATCCTGAAATATCTTCCATTAAATGACTGAAGCCTCACTAAAACTTTATTATCGTATGCAAAAGTATCACTTCCACATGGAAACAAAACCAAACCCACAGCATGTGAACACACACACACATATACATATATGTCCACATATATACCTACATATATAGACATACACATATATATACACACACACATAGACATATATACACATGAATGCACACACACAAATTATGTACCTCTCCAAGAGCTTCATAGCGCTTTTGGTTCCATCTATGCAAATCTTCACGATAATTAAAAACAAATGGCTCCCCAGTTTTAATGTGTCTTAATTGTCCCTCTGTAAAAGAAATAAAATCATTAGTGTTAATATACTTCTTCATTAAAAGACACATTCAATTGCTGAAAATTTTAATAAGTCTACATCTAAAAATCAAGCTATTACAAATACCTCCTCATTTTAAGTTACAGGCTTTTTAACAGAAAACAATTGTAGCAAAACAAATTGGATTCCCCTTTTACGGTATGTACTGCTAGATTAAGCTAAACACAAATTATGACAGTGAAATTGCATTCAGATATCAAATGCCAAACTGCTTCACAAGACATATTTATGTCTCAACTGCTATGAATTAACAGTGAAATGCAAACATTTTAAGTTAATATTTGATCTGCAGGTGATCGAATTGTAGCTACAAATCCTCTACCTCAAAACTAACTGCATTGTAAAGAAATGCAAATACAAAAGGGGCTGGGAGCAAGGGAAAGATTTATCTTCAAGCCTAACAACTTCCTAAGCTAATCTGGAAAGAACCATGTCCAGAGTTCGGGAAAATACTTAACTCCAAGGTACAGTGAAGTCAAGTAAGACCTCCTAGATTTAGAGTACACTGAGAGTCCAACAGTAGAATAAAACAGACTGCTTGTTCAGAGCAAAACCACATACACTTACATTCCATTGTAACTTTCTGTAGTTGGCCTTGTTTATAGCCAAAGTTAACAGCATACCCAACCACTGGTGAAGACAGACTGCATTAAAATGAGAATAATAAAACGGCAACCAGTAGGAAGCCAACTACAAAAACAAGTATTTTACCAACAATGTTTCAGCCTACCAGACAAAACACAAATTATGATCTCAGAGCATTACAAAACTGCAGTAGATCTGTAAAACATTAAAAACAGGGATATGTGCAAGGAAGCTGAATGCTGAAATGTCTGCATGATGAAACAAAGGTTTCTCCATAAAGTTTCCTGTTGAATAGAAGAAAATTGCTTGGTTCATGTATTTACAGAACTTCTACACTTTGATTCCTGGTGCTTTAAATAAAATATTTAAGATCTGATGTCTATAATAGTTATGCTTATCTGCTGATTTAACTTTTTTCCAGACTTGCCTTAATTCATGTACTGGATACCAAAGAAATATTTCTACACAGTTTCCTATCCCTGTCTTGGGTTAAAACATCCCCCTTCTCGCATTTTTCATCATAACTTTACTTTCGGCTGCTCCTTCTCAGATATATACTCTTCAAATATACCATTCAACATGAACTGGATCTTGCCCCAAGTAACAAGTATCTGCTATATTTTTCCTTGGACTTTATGGAACCTCTGCCTTTTTCAGATTTAAATAATCTCACAAAAAACTTCTGTACTTTTCTGCCATAAAAAGAAGTATGATTAAGACATAAAAATACATGACTGAACATTTGAATTAAATGTACAAAAGCAAAATGGTGACTTTTTTGCTTTGCTGACCCTTAGTATATGTAATAGGTTTTTCTCCATTCTATGGAAATCACCCAGGCTGTGAGGTTAGTAATGGAATATTCAGTAATATAACTCATTCCCCAAAATTCAAATTTCAGCCCTTTTTATCAGCCACATATGAACCATTAACTCTGAAGTCAGTAAGGAAGACAGTAGACACTGTGCAGATCTAAAAATAAGGAGCTGAAAAGTGACAGAGCTGAACTCCTTCCATCAAAGAAAGAGCATCACTTTCATGACACTTTTAGTCTCTAAGTACCTTCCTGTGAAAGCCATCAGGGTATTAAAAAGCTAAGTGTTGCATAAATGACTATCATTTAAAGGAAAGCGCTTTTTTTTTTTTCTTTAAAAGTGAAAGATGTAAAACTGGCAGATTTAGAAACTAAAGTTCCTGTTCACAGAGAAGGCACTGCAAAGATGTAAAATTGTAAACATTCGCATTTGCTCTACAGGTTTTAAACAATCTTGAAAGAGTCACTTCCTGCAGTCTGGCATTATGTTAGCTCAGAGGCTCATTTCTCACCTGGATTTTAAAATGCATGCACTAGAAATTATAAATACTGAGTAATTTAACATAGAGACTAAGCGAGATGGAAGTACTTACTTGCAGTCATCACACACTTGGCTACAAGGCAAAATTATGTTCCACACTAGAAGAGACAGTCTATCACATTCCTAATTCTTCCGGCAACATATATAGGTGTTTTCCTATTGGTATTTATGGAATAGTTGGGACAAACTATTATGTGAAAAACAACTTCTTCTGGAGCCATAAAAATTAATCAGGAAATAAAACATTCTTTGAATATGTGGCCAATCTTCAATTCTAATTTTTAAGTGCTACTGAAACTACTTTCAGAATTCTTATACCAACACCTCTGTAACAGAAAACAGGAAGTCATAAAGTAGGCCCAGTACAACTCCACAATGTTGTATAAAATGAGGGATTTTTATGATAATTGTATGAAATAAAAAACAGGTCTTAGATTTACAAGTCTATTAGCACTAAAGTTTAAAATTTTATTCCTAACAGGAAAGCATGAAATTTTAGTAGGGACTTATAAGGTATAATTCAACTTCTGATAACCTCTCAACATTATTCTAAGTATAGTCTTTGCAAAGCACATATTACTTACTTTCATTAAAAATGTACTCAAATCCTTCCAAAGTATCAGGAAATTCAAGTGGTGGCTCATCTTTTTTCATTAGTTCATCCAAGTCTATTCTAGACAATAAATCTAAAAAAGGAAAAGAAAAAATTACATAATGCAGGCTGTGTCTTTTATTTCCCTTGTAACATTGACAAAATGTGTTTGCTGAGATGTGTAGATTTCACAGGCAGAAGAATATCCCAATATTACTAAACACAGGACACCGGTATGGGAAATCTTGTTCAAGGTTCAAAAGTTGGACTTCACTGTCTGTACATGCACTCATTTGTTTTTTATTTACCTACCTATTTATCTCTATGCTAATCTAAAAATGTCCAGAGATAGGGAAGTCACCAAAGACATAGTGATTTGTTTCAATGATTCATTACCACAATTAGAAAATAAGTTAGAAAGTGTCTAGGGTGTGCATCATGGTTTTAACAAAGTTCTCTAGCTTCAGTTTCAAATCATTGATAGCTCCTTGATTGCCTTCTTGAGGGTTCAGATTATCTGATGTACATCATCTCACTGGCATTTACCAGCTGTGTGAGCACACCAGTGTTCCTTTGATACCCAGATTTTTAAGACCTGAATCCTTCTCTCAACCACCTCCTTTAATAGCTCTCAAGAGAAAACTCCCATCCATTTTACAGCACGCCATGGTATACACATCCTTCTCAGATCAGGACTGTACAGCCTGATACAGCCTGTAGTCACTAATGCAAGTACGCTAAAATTAGCATAACCTACATTCTTTACCCTAGATTTAAGGATTTACATTTAACCAGGGGCAAACTTATAGGTACAACTTTACATGTACATGTAACTACCAAACAATTACTGCTTACACAGGTAGTAGTGTACACAATGATCTCTCATCTCCTCATTGTGTTTCACACACACAACACAGTGCTATGCTTCGAATGTATTTTCTGATTAATAATTAAAAGAAAGATCAAGAAACAATTCAGCAGGATTTCACTAAAATATATTTTCCAACTTCTTTGTTAAATGAAATTGAAGACCACACAAACGTTCTGTTCATGAGTGCTAAACTGACTTTGAACTATTATTGTTTCACAAATCAAGATACCATGTATTACCAAGGAAATACATTAAGCGTTCTAAATATATTGATTTTTACCTTTATTATTATCCAACACTGTAGTTCAAAGAAAACACTCATTTTCTTTAAGTTTCATTTGGCACTATGTTTCTATTTTTGTATTACTTAAAACCATTATTTTTATCTTTGGTACCACTATTTTTGCTTAGTCTTGTTGCCAGTAGGCTACTCACATTACCTAAGCTTAGGACTGACACATTCAACACTTTAAAATTTCTGCTGTCTAAAATGTACTGAAAATTATCTTCAACATTCCTGAGAGTTCCTTGACCTGCTCTTCTACAGCTCTTTAAGTTCACTTTATATTTATTCCAGCATCCATGACTGCTGCCAACTCTTCCTTCTGAGTGATTCCACTGGGCAAAGCTGGAGGATCAAAAGCCATCTGGTATGGCTGCAGAAAGTCAACATCTTTCCAACAAGTATCATGGTTTCTGAGTATCTCTGTGGTATTTACATGTCTATATAACACCAGATACTGAGTGGATGATTCTAAATCTAGCTTTCTGAGACACAGCTCACTTTTACATAATAGCTGTTTAATAGCAAGTTCCATGAAATTCAATTCATGCAAGAAATCGTGTGTTTGTTCTTGTGCACTGTCCTTTGAAAGTTCTGCGGAAGCTCCTTTGGTCCTCAACCAAATGATATGGAAAAATAAAAGAATTTTGTCAATGAAGTCTCCCACAACAGGATGTGAAAAGCGTGTCCTTTCCTCCTCTGTACTTTGACAAAATCAAGGTAGCAAACACTCTTCAGCACATCTTTCTCTCCTTGATGAAGAGACTAATCACACCACACACCTAAAACGTAATTTCATTTGAGTTTCCACACCTTCTTACTGTGATCTATTTGGAAATATATTTACATAAAAGTGTCACTTACTATACAACAAAATATCAACCTCCTGAATATTAAGGACCATATTATATGAAGTATATTATGCTTATTCACAGTATGTACAGCTTGTCATGATTTACAGCTTTCATCAGTCACTAAGGAAGACTGCACCTGTTCTGAGCTGTAACCACTGACATGGCCGCTCTCTTCATGTGCAACTTTTCAAATTAAAATCATCTGAAGTGTCTTACAACTTTGTGATTCCTTCCAAATCTGGTCTACCATTCTCACCCAAAATCTTGGACTTTCCAACTCAGTTTGAGATAGTTCAACAGAACTGATAAGTGAGCAATCCTGCAAGAGGCCTTCTATACAGCTAAACAGAAAATCACTCGATCACATCAATGACACTAATCCTTAATGATAATCAAATTAATGCCACATATAAAATGGGAGTTTTACTTCCAAACCTGAACTATAACTTTGTCAAAAGATACTAATTGGCCAGAACTGGCAGAAAGTTTCATCAAAGTACTACACAGATTTTCACCAAATGCTTCACAAAAAGTCAGCTGCAACTGAAGAAACACCATCTATCATCACATATACAGAACACTGCTTTCTAATAATGCTTTGATAGAAATTCAAGATGTACACTGGAGTGGCAAGCTATGTTATTTTTTCTCCTTTGAAAGACAACTTAGAATACAACTGTGTGATGCAAGCACTTCAAATTAATGTTTGGCTAACTTACTTGTAGGTCTAACCAATTTCATGTACTTCCAAAGCTGAAAGCCACTATCCAAAATATGCATTTTGGATAATACATAAATACAATAAATACATTAAGGTAATTTATTTTTTCCCCCTAAGTCATTTAGACCAGTTTATTTTTTAAAACTTACAAAGGGAACCTTATAAAACTAATATGGAAATCAATATCGTGAAAGCCTCTTCCCTTTTAGCATTTTACTCCAAGAGATTTTTAAAAGCTGTAATATGGTTGCCTAACTATAAAACAAAATCATCACACAAATTAAATCAAAACTTCCGAAAACTACGAACACAAAAACACCAGTCAACCTTCTAAAAGGACAATTATGAAACATTTAAAAGGCAATGAATAGTTTATTCCATTACTCTTTACCACATACCACTATGTTTTATATTCATCTCATGAAAATTCTGATAAATGGGCATGCCATTAGACAATAAGGATTAGCACCAATAGACACAAGATTCTCTTCTAGTATTGTAATTCCCAAGCTCTAACTCACCCCTATATCATATTATTTTCCTTTCCTTAGCAATCATGTCTGAAATGTCAAAAAAACGTAAATTTAAAAATTTTTTTTATGTAAAAAAACAAAGGCAAAAAGACTCATACCCTTTAATGCAGTAGTCTTCTCTTTTTCATCTGGACCTCCCTGCTGGATTTGAGCCATCATTTATCCAAACTATCAACAAACTTTAAAATACTGAGGTAAATGTAGATTAATATTCAAAGGACAATCTGAAAAAGAACGAGAGTTGGAAATTAATAAATTTACTAATTTCTCCTTGAATAGCTCTTGTCTGCTACTGCTTACACCACCAAAAAAAAAAAAAAAATACAATAAAAAAAAAAAATCTGGGTATTATAAGCCCAAAGTCTGACCAAGTTTGGTTAAAGATTCGAATTTACAAGAATGAACAATACATCTCACTAATCCTAAAAGGACTTCTACCTAATAAATTCTAATGCAGCATCAGTAAACTACAGACCTTCTACAGAAGCGCAACACCTGCAAGTCCAAAATAGAAGGTACAAGAAAAAACAATACAATCAACAGAACTTCCTCAATCTTCATGGATTTTCTTCATCAATTAACTCCACTTTGTTGTCATTACTATACTAAATTATTTTTTTAGTAAAGCTTCATGAAACACAATTTTAAGTCACTGTGATTTCCACAATGCATTACTGATACTAAAATGTATTTGTACTGTAAATGCATTTAAATACAAAAGCTGCGTTTGTCCAGCTGCAAAACACATCTCAGTGTATTCAAGATGAGACTTTACATAAAAAATCTTTTTCCAAATTTCTCCTACTGCACAGAACACAACCCAGACATTCAAATCCACAGACTCTTTCATCTTGAGTATGACACCAAGGGAGTGAACTACCAAATCACAATTGCTTCCTCCTTCTCCATAAAAAGACTTCAGTGCATTGAATTCTTATTCCCTTCATCTTTTTTTGGTTCTTTGTTTTATCTGTCAGTCATTACCAACTTGTTTTATTCTTCTCCCTCATGTACTTTATCATTGATGAGCTTGCATGAACTCTATCTCAATTGTAATTTGTAAAAACAGTAACAGGATTCAGCAACTGTACTACTGGCTCCCTAGCACTTAGATCCACAAGAAAGAACCCCAAAACGGTTTAACAGCAGTTCATTGTATAGACAGCAGAAAAAAAATACACTTAGCATAATAAAGACTACCTCTCCATTCTACATAGAGAAAATCTACTAAACATTTTCTTGTATATTAAAGGAGTAATACAGCAATTTAAGGGGGTGTTAGCTATTAACTAAGGTAAGAGTCTGAGGGATTGTTGTGACTTGGTTTTTTAAACTTAGAGCTCTAGAAAGTCCAATAATCCATTTTACACATTGAAACTATGGCAGACCTTGACACCTTCCTTTGTAAAGGCTGTTCAGACAAAGCTGATGGGAAACAGCAATACAGCACAAGAGTCTTTTAAAGACACAACTCCACAAAGAAAGCTCTGTTTATATTGTGTACTTCATAAATTATGACATAAAATGTGCCTCTTTTGCCTAACACTTTAGTCACCACCCATAACAAAAGCAATCACAAAAATAAGAGCAAAACTACTGAGATTTTTTTGTGCATTTTCTAGCTATAATGTTTTCAATGTAAATTTTAAAGTGACTCAAATGTTGATTCCCACAAATGGATGGTATTAGGTATTTTCCTCAGATGCTTTCAAGCAGTACACTGAAAAAAAGACCACGAAATACAAAATCTTGTCCACCTTGTTTGTATATTTGCAGCACAAACCCACTATATTCTGCATTGTAGTACAGTCTAGTAAATTCCAGTATATTCTAGTAAAGCATATAGAAAAAAAAGTAATTTCAGTTAAAATTATTCAAAGTGCTAAAAAATGACATTGATAGTGTTTTGCAATAGCCCAGATTAAAATTACTCTAGTCATATGAAATTGAGTGGTTCTCGCTATACAACACCCTGAAAATTCATAATTTGGTAACAGTAAGTTCATGCAGTTAACAAAATACATACAAGTCCTCAAAGTTTTTTTGTTAGCAAAGGGAAGAAACATAAAATCTATCTGAACAGATTTACCTTGTAAAACAAGACCCCATTCCCTGATCAGATAAATCAATGCAGAGACCAGGAATCCTTGCCATTCTTGTCTCTGCCATGGATACCATTCTTCTTCCTTTAACAGATGAAGACCCTGCTACTGAGTAGACAACAGTTCAACTGTAAAGCTAAAAGCACCAAAATAAATAAATCCAAATTTATCTTTGAGAGAGAGAATTTACAGTTCTTTCTGATAAAAAGTAAAAACTGTTATAGCAGCCACTGGAGGGAGGACTTGATACCATAATGAGGATGGAACAAGCACCGAGTAAGTTATGCATTGTTTCTGTGAATACAGGATTTTCTGGAATCCTCTGTTTAACTTGTTTAATTAACGAAGAAATTACTTGAGAGAATTGGTTTTCTGTTCTTTGACAGAGAGGTGCCAGATTCACTACTGATGGTACAAAAATGAACAGTGGAAAATTATGAAGCTCTCTGAGTGGTTCCATATAAGTAAAGCAGAAACTGCAGTTTATTCTAGGCATTAATTTCAATCTGCAGCTTATTCTGGGCATTAATTTCAAACTCCAGTGATCTTCAACTGCATATACTGACTTTACATTAATTCCTGAATACCATCAAGTTTCTTATACTAAGTACTATTTTAAATGTGTTGTTCTTATTGTTTTAATATTCTTACAATTATTCATTCATGTTGTTATTCATACAATTATTTAGATGAGTGTTTTGAAAACACCTCTGTTTTTTTTGTATTAGATACATAGGGCAGGCATACTTCCTAAAGCACAAGTTAGTATTTCACCTGAAGAAATAGATACAAATAGCAAATAAGATAAAGTATGTATCTTGTATGTATCTCGTTTATGCAGGAAAACTTAAGAATTCTGACACAAAGTATCTTATACATATTCTGCGCCTCAAACTCCATCCCCAGCAATACTTAAAATAATTTGACACAGAAATATTCTGCTTTCATGGTTTCACATGAGATGAGGAGGCTGCATTTTCATTATACCCTTGCTTATGTAATTACAGAAACTGGTGGACTCAGAAACAAATCATCAATACATTAATTTTTAAAAAATGCACACATAAGAGAACATGCACATATTTAATTTTGTTGCCTGTAAAGTAGTATTGGGAGTTTGGACTACAGATGTGATGGCGTAACAGTCTTATTTTTTAAATCAAAAAACACCATATCATATCCATCCATATGGTACACATATACAGATTTCAACATACTTAAAATACCCTTCATTGTGCAGATGCAGCCAGCAGTGTGACAAAAACCACAGTATAATATTTTGCCCAAAATTAGGAATACCTGAAGTTAAGTCAATATTACAAATATTCCAAATAAAGGCTATAAATTATTGTAGTGTTAACAACAAGAAGAAATACGAAAACACACAAGTATCTTCAAACAGCACAAGTCCTTCAAGCTTATGTGCGTACAACATGAAGACATGTATTCATGTATTGCACTCCTTTATTAGAATATAATAGAATGCAAGTCTTATTCTTTGTAAATTGACATCCCAAGCAAACCAGGAACAAGTATGGGTTAGAGTTTTATAATGTGGCTGGTGACTTATTAAGATCCAATTTTTCTTCAAAGAGATGGCTGGATTACAATTTGCCTTGAGTCCCTTGTTGGTATTGGCTCAACAAAGCAAAAAAACGCAATAATTTATCTTAGCAGTATTTTCTGTCTAATTAGATTTTATCTTTTCCCACTTTCAGGGCACTACAGATGGCATCAATAACAACTGCATCAATTAAGGTAGCACTTCACTTTACCTCACTTAAAAGACAGTATTTTTAAGTGCTTATTGGTTTACTCAACTTCAGTTCTAAAAGGCTATTATTTCCAGTCCGCTTTAGACTAAATGGCTTTGAAAATGTCTACCTCTAGTAAAAGAAGTTTCAGAGACAGAATCTTACGCTCAGTTCTGATGGTGTTAATAAGCACCTACAGCATCTCCATGTTAAACGCAGCATCTCCATCTTAGTGATCAGAAATTTAGGATCAGAGGATCTGCTTAGTAGTGTATGCCTCTTGCCATTAATTATCTTTAAAGCCTGTCCCACTCTGCTGAAGTCAAAATGGCTTTTCTCCCACATTTAACACAGACTTTCTAAGACTTATTGGAATTTCAAGAAAATTTACCTAGTTGTTCAGAGCATGCTCCAGACCACTGCAAAAGGCAGGGGAAACATGAACAGGAAGGGGATTAATAAATGTTAGAAGGGCAAATGTAACCACTTAGTGATCCTAAAGTCCCTGAATCCCAGTAGATCTTTGTACTCTACCAAATGGTAGTAGAACTTACTGACAAAGTACATGACTGCAGTCAGTATTAAAGTTTGATATATTTGCACAGTAACCACCTTCCTGGTTTATTTACCCCGTAAGTTCAAACAACAGATGATTAGGAGCCACATGCATTAGCAATATGTGTCAGCAACTCAACTATTTACACCAAGCAGAGTTAACACAGCTCCACAAACTGGGATTTTAATGGTTTTGGTTTAACTTCCTTGAAATGCTGGAAATTACCTTCATAAACATATCCATATTAACACAAGTAAAAAAAACATGTCAAAATAACTGAAAAAGAGGCAGCACAACCTCAACATAGCCTCTGAGATGTTGACATTATAATGGTATATCAACCAAACACAAGGTTCAAAATTACCGTCTGCAGCAACAACAGCCTTGAGTATTTGTACGGGTTTTCTCTGGGAGAGAGTAAGTTTTCTCTGTAGTAGCTCATAGGGTTTGGATTTGTGCTGAAAGCAGCATCATTAACACTGCTGAACAGTGTTCACACAGCATCAAGGGCTCTCCTGCTTCCATGTGCTGCCCTGCCAGTAGGCAGGCACGGGTGCCCAAGAAGCTGGGAGGGGACACAGCCAGGACAGCTGAAACCAGCTAACTACATGATAACACATTCAGCAATAGAAACTCAGAAAAGAAGAAACAGGGAATGTGTGGAATGATGGTGTTTGTCTTCCCAAGTTACCATTACACATGATGAAGCTGTGCCTTCCTGAGGATGGCTGAATATCTGCAATTCTTTATTTTGCTTTGCTGGTGTGCATAGCTTTTACTTTCCCTATAAAACTGTCTTTATCCCAATCCAT